AATTATAGCCTATATGTTAATCTGGGTTACAAACAATAATACTGTAAAATTTAAACAAAATTCGTTCAGTAGTTTTTGCGTGAAAGAGTAACAAACATCCAGACATCCAGATATCCAAACTTTCGCATTTATAATATTAGTTGGATAGTTGGATTATTTTCTTGGAATAACTCTTTTACCCCTGAGTCATAAAATAAAACACTAACCTAGAAATATCTTACCCTTCCACGTCTGACAGTTTTGCGACATCCGCATAGTCGAAGAATTGAGGTGTAGTTTTATTTAATTTTAAGACCGCAGTAAGAATTCTTGGCCATATCCAGAGAACGTGTCCCTGAGTACTTGTACAGTTATACAGGGTGGAATTTTGTAATGCCACCTGGAGGGAAAGTACTCTTAATACTGTAGATAGAAAATCTTACTAAAAGAAAACATTCCTTTATTTTTGAAAAGAAAGAGAACTGCATTCAAAGATTTTCGAAAATTTTTCGAAAATTCACTACCATACCATACAATTTTCTGTACATAATTCAAATATTTTAAGATTTCATGGTTTTCCTTTCATTTGATTTATCATGTTTGTTAGAGAGATTTCATCCTTATACTTAACCCTAACGATGGATGCAATAAAAATACAGGGTGTAATTTTTAACAGATTGTAGTTAGTTCAATTCCCGGGTGTGGCAAGCAAATTTTTTGAAATCTTTGAATGCAGTTCTATTTCTTTTCAAAAATAAAGGAATGTTTTCTTTGAGTTTTTTTTCTATCTACAATATTAAAAGTACTTTCCCTCCAGGTGGCATTACAAAATTCCTCCCTGTATACTTCGGTTATATTTCGGGAATTTTACGACGCTGTCATTTCACTCAAAATCAAAATCAAAAATATTTATTTAGTTTAGACCACAAGTGGCACTTATGAACGTCAATAGCTACGCTACGTTTTACGTTTTGTGGATAGGATAGGACCTTGATCAGGGTAAAATAACGGTCAAGTGCGAGTTGGGTCGCGAACGTGGGTTCCGTACTATAAGACATGATGATGAACCCTGAAACAGTATGTTTTAGTTCCTTGTATCTTGTATCCTTTCCTTGTCCTCTACAGCATAGGCTACTTTTAAATAAATAAATAAGATCAGATCAGAGAGCATAAATCGGAAAGAAAAAAATACAAATAAACTTCTAAGCTCCTTAGATTTTAAGTTTTTTCAATGTTTATCATAATTATCATTAAACACACTCTGTAAACATTTCGAGCATCTACGAGTTCTTATAAAAAACATTTATAAAGCATTTTTACTGTTTTGTGTTATAATGGTAACATACAGTCTGCTAAAAATTACAAAATACAGACCATGAAGGCCTTTCAATTTCAATAGAGTCTCGTACGTACTCGTGAACCCTAAAAATTCTGAGGTGATCTGCCCTTTCTATTGTCAGCTTAACAATTTTCAACGGAGGCCCCAGACAGGTTTTTCCGTGGATTATACAGGGTGACTGGAACTGAACCCGCCATAGCTGATACGCGTATAGAGGAGGTCATTTGCTAATTATTGAACCTTACTTTCTACAACTAAAGTTTTATAGTTTAGGAGATATGTCAGTTTTTATACTTTTTTCAGATTTTTTCGAAATTTGACCNTACGGCTTGTTTATTAAAACTTCGCAAGTGGTCAAAAGGATATAAAAATTGCTTCAAAATCCTTTCGCCTATGCTATGGATATGTCTATGCTCCGACTATAAAGAAATAGTGGCCAAAATGATTGCAAGTTTTGGTGTAATGGGTTGTAACATGAGCATTAAACTTAATTTCCTTAATTCGCACATTGATTAATTCCCAGAAAATCTAGGAGCCGTTAGCAAAGAACAAGGCAAAAAGATTTCACCAAGATTTGAAAGAGCTTGAAGTCCGGTATCAAGGAAGATGTAATACTAGCATGATAACGGACTATTGTTGGTTATTGAAGCACGACTATCCAAACCGGAAATTTAAGCGAAAATCTAACAATCGAAGCTTCCAGGAAAAAAAGGACTAGGTTTCACAAATAAAATTTACATGTAATTTAGACTAGTAAATAGTTATCATTATATTTTAGTAGTTTTTTAAGTTAAAAGTAGTGTACTTCTTTAAATATATATTTTTTTATGTGAAAACTTGTGATTTTTTCCTATTTTCTATCTGTACCTTTTTTCGAAAAATCTGGAGGTGATGGAGAAAAACTAAGTACATATTCGTAATCAGCGCACCAAAATACCTTAGAATCAGCTATCAAATTCCAGAGAGGAAGTTATGACCCTCATTTTGCAGGCCTGTGTAACTTGAATTTTTTATCGTGGTTTGTACTTTTGTTTAACTTTGACGGCTCGTAACTAGTTATTGAATCATTATCTAGATCTGAAATTTATTTTATTTGACTAAAGGTTTATTCGATATTAGTATTAAATAAAAAAATCGGTTAAAATCATGCGAGAAAAAAAAATTAAGCAGTTTTTAGGTCAAATTTCGGAAAAATCTGAAAATAGTATAAAAATTGACATATCTTCTAAACTATAAAACTTTAGTCATAGAAAGTAGGGTTCAATAATTAGCAAATAACCTCCTCTATACGCGTATTAGCTATGGCGGGTTCAGTTCCAGTCACCCTGTATAAAATCTTCGATTAAAACATAATTCGATCTCCAAACTGACAGTTAATGAATGGCTTAATCGAAGGTCTTGTCGCGATCATGCTCTAACAAACGAACACTGTTAACAGAGTAAATACAAATGAGGTCTTCATAGAAACGCACCGAGCGCGGTTTGTATGTGAGCGCGCGCCAATAAGTATGCGGCGCGCACGCACACACTGACAAAATTCAGCGCACCTCACCGCTAATCCACCCAAAACTACAGTTAATTTTCATTTACTTATTTTAAGAGACTTATGATAACACTAGCGGCCGCCCGCGACTTCGTACGCGTGGATCCCGTTTTACCCCCTTAGGGGTGGAGTTTAGTAAAACCCTTTCTTAGCGAATGCCTACGTCATAACATCTACCTGCATGCCAAATTTCAGCCCGATCCGTCCAGTGGTTTGGGCTGTGCGTTGATAGATCACTATGTCAGTCAGTCAGTCACCTTTGAGTTATACAGGGTGTTAGGTAAATGGGTATATGAGCCGACACTAGCCCATGTTAACATGGTCATATAAATGGTATGGTGAAGTCGGAAAATTGATATCTTCATTTTAATTATTTGAATTTTCATACAAATCGGATTTTATAAAAAATATTTTGATGAAAATTTAAAAAAAATAAATGATGATATCAAATTTATGACTTCACCATACCATTCATATGCCCATGTTAACCTGGGCTAGTGTCGGCTCATATACCCATTTACCTAACACCCTGTATATTTAGATAAGTAATTATTTCTATTTCGCTTTTTGTGAAGCAAAAGGCATTCTTAAAAAGGAAAATCGTATTTCACGGTTGACCATTCAACTCAACCCTCCAACGCGACATGGTTCCCGCAAACCCACGTTATTCGATTGTGACTGGTTGAAGTTAACCCTTAAGTGACTAATCTTTTTAGCGGTGGTCCTTTGAAGCGAAAATATTCGCGGTTATCGATAGTAGAGACGGCGAATGTCGATAGAAATATGTAATAGATTTTATTTTTACTTCAAGTATTTTTGGCGGGCTAATCAAGACTAGTGCCTCATTTTAGAAGTGATTGAATGTGAGGTTGATAAGAACGATAGCGTTTATTATTAAGTATTGTCGTAGCAGAGGTAATATGTGACAGGGTTTACGAAAATACATGGATCTCAATACCAATCAGTCAATGAACTATTTTTTCCACCTTTCACATTAACTATTAACTTAACACTAACATCGAAAAGAGAATATAAATTAACTGGAAAAATTGTAACCGATGAGCCTCAAATAATAATTACCTAAATGAAAAAAAAATTTTTTTTTTTTTAAGTTGAAGAAATATTGTAAGACGACAACGCATCAAGGTAAACATAATAAAGGTATGAGTCCAAAAAAAGGTGCTGATTGTGATGTAATCGACTAAACATCGATATATCGACATAAACGTGGCCATCTCTACAAAAACTCCACGTGGTTAGTTTGGTCTATTTCTTTTTCTTTTGAAGCCATTTGACCGATACGTTGAAAAACATGGAAAGCTCGATTACAGAAGAAAACGGCCATTGAAAGTTCTGCCAGTTTGCAACATTGGGAGCTTTAAGCTCAATCGCTAACGTTTGAACTTTAGGGTAAAGGAAACCCGAAATGGAGATGAGGAAATTGTGTAATCTGCAGGTAACGTTTTCTAGATAAAAGCCTACCTTTGAGAGTAAGAATAAGAAAAACTTTGTTTGACGCAAAAAATACAAAGGATTATGGTCTTTATAAACAACAATAGGTAACATGCTCGTTTGCTCGTGCTAAAAATACGCCTGCTTAGTATAAATCGAGACCCAAACGTGTTTCGACAATGTTTTTCAGCGGATGCCCATTGGCAACTTGTATAGTTCCATTACATTTTATTACCTGATAGCAATTGATGATCAGTTTGAGGATGGAAGCTACATTCAAAATCCTCAATTGTTTAACTTAAACTTACATAGTTCAATTTCATTTTTTAACCACAACGGGGAAGCTTTTAGCATGCATCACCCAATGACAAAATTAAATGACGATTGATCAGGCTGAAGATGGAAGCTACACTCGAAATCTTGAAGATTTCGAGTAATTTTAGTAATACCACCCCGGCTTCGCACGGTTGAAATGGAATTTCCCGGCTTTTCTCTTCTATTATATGCATATAAGGTATAAACCTATAAACCTTCCTCTTGAGTCACAAAAAATATATCCTTGGACATTTTACACTGCGCCTCTAGTAGGTACGAAACTAAGCAAAGCTTGTACTATGGGTACTAGACAACGGATATAAACATACTTAAATAATTTTTTACTTGATGCTGACTGTTTGTCCCCAGGTGATCCCAGCCATGTTTCACACGGCGAGCATATGGCTGACCCTCGCGCTAGCAGTGCAGAGGTACATCTACGTGTGTCACGCGCCCGTAGCTAGGACGTGGTAAGTTTATTATACAGTTAACACAATCCTGTACGACTAACATGAAAAATTTGCATATTCGAATCGCCATCAAAAGATTTAGTACGAAAACTACAACAGCGCCCTTGTGAACCGTGTCGTAAAGTGAACTTAGTATGAGAAATGGTTGCACGAAACTTATTTTGAGAATCAAAATTGTCATGTTATCGATTAATTCGTAGGTTGAGTATCGAATTTTGTCGAATACGCAAACCGAAAATGCTAGAGGTATTTTGTTCGAAACCCAATTAATTTTAGAAGCTTTAGTCACTAGCCCAATCGTGTCGATGTCGGATTAACCAAATCGAGATGTGTGCTTACTATGAGTTTACGTTGTGTGCTCTCCAAAAAAAGCTTCAGTAGTTTTTGCGTGAAAGAGTAACAAACATCCAAACATCCAAACATCCAGACATCCAAACTTTCGCATTTATAATATTAGTAGGAGTAGGATAATAAAACTATGGTCACAACAAGTCTGGTGGCAGACTTCACGAGACTATATTGGCGTCATATGACCCAAGCTGACTGTGGCTAAACAATAGAAGTTACTACAAGTTAAGAATTTTAGTCAGGCACAGTCTGACACAATATTCTGCTTGCTTAGTAACCAAATGGAGTACAATTATCACAAAGTGATTTAATATACATGTCCCATTTAGGAATCGAACCCTCTCAGCCTCTGCCTTTACCAATCCCATTAGTAGTTTCCCAAAATCCCCAGCATCAGTTCACCAGTGATACTGCGTAATTTCTTCACTAAGCAAAGTTAAAGGCGCTCCTACATTGGGTATACTCGCTGTAATGTAACAATCCAATATGGTGACGAGCACTTGCCTGTAGTTGTACTTGTACTTACAATTCCATACAAGACTAACGCCCGTATTCACAAACGATGCTTGCTTAAGTGAAGCAGCAAGTTTAACGCACAGCGTTGAATAGATCTGTAATTGGTTCATGTGTGCGTCCACGCGCACTGTGAGACCTCATGGTAATGCTTGTGAATAGGGGCGTTATACTATCCACGGAACTATTCCCACCTCTCGTTCCCACCGCTACAACTCATGTGTGTAGGATCTACAGCTTGACCGCCATTAAAAGCCAACCAGTGAAGGTCAAGTTCGTCCCGGGGGAAAGTTAAACTGTCATTGGGCCCGCATCAGAAGAACATAGGAGGAATGGTCGATACTCGATACTCCTACTTACTGTATTTCTCAAATACTGTATTAGCTGTACATCATCATAAAATACATATAATCATTTAGGCCTGATGATCGCGAATTATAGAAGTGGTCCTATTCTCTACCTTAACCAAACGCTCTGTACTGTTCTTCATCATCATCTCTGCCATAGGACATCCACTGCTGAACATAGGCCTCCCTCAATGCTTTCCATGCTGCCCGGTTGGTAGCGACCTGCGTCCAGTGCCTTCCTGCTACCTTTATGATGTCGTCGGGCCACCTTGTGGGTGGACGTCCTACGCTGCGTTTTCCGGTACGCGGCCTCCATTACAGAACCTTGCTGCCCCATCGGCCGTCAGTTCTGCGTACTATGTGCCCTGCCTATTGCAACTTTAGCTTGTTAATCCCTCGGGCTATGTCAGCGACTTTAGTTCGTTTACGGATCTCCTCATTTCTGATTCGATCTCGTAAAGAAACTGCACTGAACTGTACTGTTCATTACAGCTCAATACTCACAGTGAGTGGCCACCTTAACATGTAAAGAGCTCCCTCGGGTCGATTTGTCTCTTTTAGAGCGAGCGCGAATTCGATAACAGAATTAATGAAAACGATTAGTTCATTGCTTCAGATTCCATTTGTTTTGGGCCTGCCATTAGTCCTAGTTAGGGGGACAGGGTGCCAATTAGTAGGGCGAAGTTGAATGAACTACCAAATGAAGATGACCTACCGAATGACGTTTTCGATGCTGACTCAAAATTGTCAATTAGTTTGATGGTGACTCGATGGAACGTCAATTTATTCGTCTTGGATAACTTTTATGTAAGTAACAATTAATTTATAAATTTTTAACCACTACTTAAAAGTACGAGGAATTACGCTGAGCGAAACAGATTGCAGGACATTGATGCTGTTTCATTGCAAAAATTTTACTTAATTAATTATCTTAAAGATACGATAACGTTTAAAAACAATAATTATATTGTGTAGTAGGTACATAGTTTTTACAAAATATAATTGAGTTAAATTCCATGGCCCAGCACAAGTATTGGAATAAAATACGAGTAGGTAGGTATATCAAATGGGTAATTTTCTGCCTCCTTTTGCTTATTTGATGAATTAAACACGTACAAAACACCATGTCCCCTGTACTAAAGGTTACTACTTCCCCGTAACTAATTAAACTATATTAATTAGAGCTTCTCTAGCCGACCCAAAACAATTGCTCGTCCAATTTAATTGTAAGGTTTATAGCACACTATCCATTATGTTTAAGGGAGCCGTTTCGCTGTGGTTTTGGATGAACAATGATGCTTTCAAAACAAAACATGTATTTAATGCCCAAGTTTGTGTGAATGGATGTTTGTTACTCTTTCACGCAAAAACTACTGAACGGATTTTGGTGAAACTTTACAGTATAGTTGTTTACACATCAGAATGTCTTATAAGCTTTATAATAGTAGGTATAGTATAGGCTAAATTACAAGAATAAGTGTGAAGGAGTGGGTCTTTCGGTGACAAAGTGAACTTACGCAGGCAAAAACTAGTAATTAATATTTAGAGGAGACAGAGGAGAATCGTAACTGAGGAGAGTTGTTCTTCTCGTAACAAAGCACGATTTATAGTTCAAGTCTCCAGCTAACAAATGCGCATTCTTTCGAGCTCGTTGTTATTTAAATAGGTTTACAAAAAATGACAATGTCAACACTTCTCTGTTACAACTCTCCTCGGTCTCCCCTATGTTACACATTCTGTCAAATATGGACAGGGATATAACGTTTATAAATATTAACGGGTATAGATGTTCCGCTCCATCCACGAAGACGCGCCCCACCATTCTTCTGCTAATGTTTGAGTGTTATCGTTACACGCTAAATTATCCATGAGTGCACAGTCACACGCACACTACAATAATGACGCTTGGATTGCTCGGATCCAACTCCCCGCACCCCGCGCTTCTGTCGACCAAAAATTGGTGGGGCGCGTCTTCGTGGATGGACCGATCTACAAATTGTTATACTCAATACTCAATACGTTTATTGCTTATAAACTAGTTTTAACGCTAAAATACCCCCATAGACAACAAAATTAAGGCCATTATTTTTTATGGTGCAGTCAGACCGGGGCGAGCACTATAAAAGTAGTTTTACAGCTTCCCGACCGAGAGCTGTATTTTATGTGGCCCCGTAATAACGGATGAGTGCGCATGGGAAAATAACGTCATGGCTAATGTATAGTGCGCTTTCTGTAAATAATACGTTTAAATTGAAATACTTATACTGGAAAAATCTAAACGTTAAATTAACGGTATCGTTATAGCCAATGAGCTGTCAGAGTGACATTGACGTAAGTAATGTCAATGTCACGCTAGAAACGTCAAATTAAAGGGACGCGGGCGGACGTCTCCGCGAGCTTTTATACTAATTGATTAATTGTATTTAAAATGAGGCAATATAAAAAATAGATCTACCGGCCTCTATAACAATATTTTAAAAAATCCTAAATGTTATAAAACGTTTGTTTTGTCACCTGTCACCCGCTTTGCAATGGAGGGAAGTCGAACCTTAATTTCGAACTCCTCCTACCTATGTTCTTCTGATTAATTTCGTTGCGCGTCCAATGACAGTTTATTTAACTTTCCCCCGGGACAAACTTGACCTTCACTGGTTGGGTTATTGGCGGTCAAGCTGTAGATACTGACTGGCTACCCAGGAGTTGCAGCGGTGGGAACGAGGTGGAAATAGTGAATAGTCCCGTATCTATAATTAAATACGATAATACATACAGTTAAAAGAAGCATAGAAAGCTTAAAACGTTAAATTTGGATTAAAGTTAGTCCTACTAATATTATAAATGCGAAATTTTGGATGTCTGGATGTTACTCTTTCACGGATTTTGTTGAAACTTTACAGTATTATTGTTTGTAACCCAGATTAACATAATATAGGCTATAATTTATGCCGATTTGTGACACTAAATTTCATGCGGGTGAAGCCGCGGGCAAAAGCTATTAAATCATAAAGGGCCTGTCTTAATTACCACTTGCTGATATTATAGACCCTGAGAGCCTATAAGGAAACAAATATTGGAATACTTCATCGAATATTAGCTACCCTTTATTAATTGTGAAATAATCAAACCAATCTGTTCAATTTCACATAATTACATGAGACTAGCTTGGGGCTTATGGTGTAGTGGGGCGTAAAGCGGGGCGTGTAGCGGGGCGTGTAGCGGGGCGTAAAGCGGGGTGTATGATGCTTAATATTACAAGATGAAATGACGAAAACGAGGGACCCTTTAATTTCATCATCATCATTTCAGCCACAGGACATCCACTGCTCAGCATTGACCTCCCCCAATGATATCCACATAGCGACAGTAGAGGCCTGCATCTAGTACCTTCCTGCTACCTTTATAAAGTCGTGCTCCTACAGTAGAGACCGATGACCTGACAAAAGTAATGATGATGATGACATGCGTAAATTAACGCCCCGCTACACGCCCCGCTTGACGCCCCGCGTGTGCATACCCGTAGCCTAAAATAAATTGTGCCCAAATTCTTCGGGCTTATGTTTATCTACCGCTAATTAGGCGAAGGCAATTAATGATACATCGTACAGTGTAAAAGCATCAGCATGTTCAATTTATTTAACCGACGATGAGTGACCATAGTGACCATATTTAGTAGGATTTTATCACAAGGATCTCCTTAAAGGAAGGTGCTTTTTTGGAAGGCACATTAGACACGGTTGTTATTAGGCTTGCTACGTATTCATCGTTAAGGTTTAGTCCATTGGTTCCCTAAGT